CCCCAAAACCCCAAAACCCCCGTGTGAAGCGCAAACAAGTAATAAAGTTTGAATTTAGAAAGATTATAGATAATTTAAAATGGCAATTAATAATTAAGTGTATGAAGCCCTTAAGAAGTGCTCTGAGAATGGAGATGCAGTCATTGAAGCAGATTTAAACTTTTTCTACCCAGATGCCGAATCTGATAAACTATCTGCCATCAAGCAGCTAGTTATGTCTTTCGGCGTAGATGAGGAGATTAAGGTGCAAAAGATATCTTTTAAATAAAAATAAAACTCATTTCATTATCAAAACTCTCAGTCATTGCTCTTAAGTGGAGTCAGTGGCTGATCTTAACTCTAAAACGTAGCAGGAGTGTTCTTATATGACATGGTGAGATATTCGTGGCATGGAGTCGTCCCTGATGAGGATAATTTAGTATTATTCTTTCTTAAAACATTATTGATATAGAATATTGTGAAGTAGCTAATTGACTTTGAGCTAGAAGATTACAATCTTAAGAATTTACAGGTATTTTAATGAGTTATAAGAATAATACTAAATAGGCAAGAATACTTTCACAGCTGATCCTGCATAAATACCCCAATTGCTGGGAGAGCTATCTCGAACTAGTCGTAGAGTTACTTCAAAAGTAATCCAGATTTCTTTATATATTTTTCATTAGTGATAATTTCATAAAAATTGATCTTGGAATAAAGACTCTTTTAAACTTATTAAATCTGATAGATGATGAGAAGGCTATGAGGCAATTCCACATTTTCGTGCCCAAGATTCTTCCACATCTTTATACAGCCTTTACCAACAGTGAGACAGACGCTCATGGAAGAGATTAAATATTAGATACATTCTATTTATGTCTCAGGACTATTTCCTGGGCAGATGGTATTGATAACGAAATGGTGGCTGGCTGTTTAAATGAGACATTCAATACCTGGATGGCTCTCCTGAAATAGATTATAAAGACCAATCCTAAAGCATTCTTCGATGTAAAGAAAAATGCATTGAAATGCTTGACTGTAATCTTTAGAGATTTCATCAACTATTCAAGGGATTGTATCAATACCATTCTTGAGCCTTCCTGGTAATTGCTAAATTTCCATCTGCCAATTTTCACAGAGGTACTTGGTTACAATCAAAGTCTTAAGGATTTACAAGGAGATGATCAAGACGTTGAAGAGTATTAAAGAGGGTATGAAAGTGATGACGAAGAGGAGTAATTTGGAGTCGAGGGTATGACTCTGTAGCTGATTGAATTATTGACCACACTTATTTCAAGATAGAATGTTCAGGAGGTTGTTAAATAAGGCATTGTTCCTTTGATAACAACTATAAGCAGTTATATGATTATTCCACATTCAAAAGAAAGGTACCATGTTGGGGATTACCACCACTTTATCCACGAAAAGGATGAAGATTTTTACAAATAAAGATCAATCCGAAATTCATGTTTAGACTTGGTCTCTTCACTAATAGAGGTTTTTGGAGATCTTGCAGTCGAATCTATTCTATTTGTAGTGGAAAACCTTTTCCTCACGACTTCAGCCAGTTAATCATCACCTACAAAAATTAAGGGTAACATGGCTTAGACTATTGAAGAAATAAATATTTATGACTATACCTATAGCTCTGCCCATCCTAAGCATTTCTGGAAAAAGAGAGAAGTTGCATTGTTTTTAATTGGCAGCTTTGCTGAGGATATTTCTATGTTTAGATAAAGAAATCCATAATATAATCTCAGAGTCTTGATTGAAGAGGTTATGAAAACAAACTTTGATAAATGTCTAATTAAGAGCTATCTTAAAGGAAGGACTCTTTAATGTGCATCTCAATTGGTTGAGATTATGCCAAGAGATTATGAAGAAATTCATTCTAACATCCTCGAAATGTCTATTAAATTCCTTATAGATTAGAAATTGATATCTATCAAATTGGTTGCGACAAGATGTCTTATTAAATTTGCACGAAAACTAAAGTCGGATCTTCTGATGATTTTGATCAAAGATAAATTTGAAAACATATTAGATTAACTGACAGGTCTACTTGATACCACCTCCCTCGAAACAATTTATCTTCCAATTGAAGCATTTACGCAATTTTCTAAATTAAATGAGGATATTGTTGCTTAAATGGCACCCAAGATCACTCCAAAGCTACTCAGATTCTTCAAGAACTATCATAGTGAGGGAGCACTGGCTGGTGAACTCCTTAATCTCTTCAAGATCTGGTGCAACTATGATACCTGCAGAGACATTTTCGTAAACACTTTTATCCCATTCATTATGGAGATCATTGATAACTATTACTAAAACACTCCTAACGTTGACAATAAGGACTAACTCCTTGTTCCTCAAAATCTTGTAGACCTCTCGGCAGATAAGTCGTAGTCAAACGCTGACTAAAAATCATAATAGATTGTCGATTCTTCCATCCTTCAACATGTTATAGACTTACTATGTACCCTCTTAAGAAAAACAAAGGACAAAAAATCCTCAGATTTTATCAAGATCATTGAGATTTTCCCAAAGCTGTTAGAGTATATAAATAAGAGTGAGGACATGTTCCTCTTACTTCACGGTACTTCTGCACTTAGAACATTTATCCACTTGGGTCATCAAGAAATATTGAAAGTCGTTCAACCTAAAGAAATAATTGAAGTAGCAAAGAAATTGCTCTCACCAACAACTAATGAGCAAGCAGCTCTTTGCCTTGGAAACTATGTGATTCAGATTTTCCACAAGATTCAACCATAAATTGATACAAACTTGCTAATGAACGTAGTATGGAAGATTTACAAATCTAGAATGCCCTCAATAGTTCAGTCACTTATTTTGATATTTGCAAGATTGATTCATTCCCATCCAAAAGAAATCGTAGAGTTCCTTTCTGAGACATCAATTGACAACAGAATCTCTCTCAAGATTGTCCTTGATAAATGGCTTCTTCAGCAGCCCTTATTCCGAGGTTACTATACTAAGAATGTGACATTCTCAGCACTTTTAAAACTCTTCATTCAGAGAGATCCTAGAATTGAGAGTTTAATGGTAATTGGATACAACCCATCTCACTCCAATGTTAACTCTGAGATAAATGCTCCATTCAAGATACTCTCCATACTACTGAGATACTTGGATAATGAGATGTCACCCAAGAAAGGTAAAAGACCAATCCCATAAAACTATGAAGCAGGAGATGATGATGAAGAAGAGAAATCGAGTGGTATTACACCTGGATATAAACTTAGAAGAGATCTCTTAGGTGAGGGAGAAAGATTAGATACTGTTGAGGGTGATGATGATAATGCTGACTTTGATGATAGACATGAGGCTTAAACAGATAAAATTGAAGTCAACCTTGACGATGTTTAAGATGATGATGATAACGAGAGCTTATTAGGATCAAAGAATAATTCAAGCTTATTACAAGGTGGAAACCTATTTACTATTAAAGAAAGCACTGATAGAGGTCTAGCTGATATGGAGACTGGTTCAGAGGTGTACATGTCAGAACTGCTTGCAGGCTTTGACATGGAAGATTTCGATGAGGCTGAGGAATAAAACGAGGAAGATCTTATTGAACTTGGAGATTCATTCGGTAGTATAAATCTTAGAGTAAGCTTTTGATATTTTCTAACCTAATTATTAGAGCCACATCCAAGACACTCTGAATGATTTTATGAAGGCAGACAAGGCTGGTGGAGAGTATTTGTTGTATTGTGTTCGTCAGCTTTTGCACGATGACCTAGACCTAGCTAAAAAATATCTGAAATTAGGAGGAAAGCAATGAGCATAAGGCCAGCATGTTAAAAATCAGGTTTAAGACTTATCTTTCTTAGTATATAATTACCTATAATAGATAAACTTACTTATCTAACAACTCAGATTAAACACTCTATTTATTTTATAATATACTATATCAACTGTTATTATTCTTTTAAAAACTTATAAAAATTATTTGCTATTAATCACTTTCTTAGTTTTAGAGCGAGATCCTTGTCTGTATCTTTCTTCATGACTTTAGCCACTGCAAGTTCAAAATCTTCTTGAGTTACATGAATTCTACGTTCTCTTAAGGCATACATACCAGCTTCAGTACAAACAGCCTTTGATTCAGCTCCACTGGCACCAGGCATAAGTTTAGAGATTTTAGGTAGATCTATACCTCTCATTAAGTTCATCTTTCTTGAGTGAATCTTGAGAATATCAAGTCTAGCATCTTCATTTGGATTGGGGAACTCAATCTTTCTGTCGATTCTACCTGGTCTAAGAAGAGCATCATCTAAAATATCTATTCTGTTAGTTGCCATGATAATTTTAATTTTGTTAGTTGCTTCGAAACCATCAAGCTGATTTAATAGCTCAAGCATAGTTCTTTGTACCTCGGAGTCTCCTCTTGATCCCTCAATTCTCTAACCTCCAATGGAATCGATTTCATCCATGAATATGATTGATGGAGCATGAGCTCTTGCCATTACGAAAAGTTCTCTAACCATTCTTGCACCTTCTCCAATATATTTTTGTACCAATTCACTTCCACTTACTCTGATGAAGCAACAGTCTGTGTGATGGGCAACAGCTCTGGCTAAGAGAGTTTTACCAGTACCTGGTGGACCATATAACAGTACTCCCTTTGGTTGAGAAATACCTAAACTCTCAAATATTTCTGGATGCTTAATTGGTAGTTCAATGACTTCCTTAACTTCCTTTATTTATTGATCTAGACCTCCGACCATATCATAAGTTGAATCTGGCACTTTTTCTACCTTCATGAGGTTAACAAGTGGATCAGTCTTAGACGGCAATATCTTATGAAGCAAATATGAATCACTTTTGAGCGCAACTCTAGTGTTTGGTGTCAATAAATCAACATTAATCTTTCTATCAATATCTACTACATATTTACCTTCTCCACCTATCTTGACTAAGCACTTCTTCTTGCCCATCATCTTGCTGACTTCTCCAATTTAAGAAGCTGGTTGAAGCAAAAGCCATAATTCCTCCTTTAAATTCTTAACCAAATTGTTCATTTCGTTTCTTTGAGCCTCAAGTCTTCTGAGATTGCTCTTTTTCTCTAGAATTTTAAGTTCAAGTTCTTCAACCTTCTTTTTATAATAAGACTCCAAGCCAATTTGGGGTTATTCTTGGACAAGTGATTGAGTTCTTTCTAATATCAAGGACATATTGAATGTTATTGGTTTGCAATTGTCAAGTAGACTTATTAGTTTTTAAATTTATAAATTCAAGAATTAAATAATCCCACTGAACTCTTATTTTCCTACTTAGGGGTTTTGGGGTTTTGGGG